ACAGCCCAGCTTATAGACTGAGACAGACTAGGAAGAAGGAAGAGGCCGTCCACTTCTCAAAGAATTGGCCAGGGAAAACCTTATGAAGAGCTCCTACATAGTGCACCATAAAAATGCACTCCCAACACTGTTGATGTTCTGCCAGCTTTTTCTCCACAGCACCCACTACCATCGGAAAGACTGTCTACTCACCGTGGAAGGTCAAAGCCACAAAGGCTGTGTTCCCCGGCCTGGAACAGCACTGGACACATAGTAGGTGCTCAGTAAATTTGTAATGTTGAATGAAATGAATGCATAAATACAGAAATGAGTGAAACCTGAACCCTGCCTAGTTCTCCTTGGCAAGTATTTTCTTGAATGTTTTCCTGTCCTTGGAAACCTCCATCCTGAAGCGCCAGTCCCCCCACGATCCTCCCTTAGGCTGAAGGTGGTCCCTGAGCCCCGGACTCCAGATGGTGCCAGGATTATTAAAGGGGCTCCCAGGAAAGGTGGATCTGTCTCATTGCCATCTCCAAAACTTCGAAAGGAGAGGGTGGCACTGGCACATTTGGGCAGGTAGACCAGAGGGTGCGGCTGGAGCAGGGGCATTTCCAGGTGAGACAGGCCCACAGTGGGACGCAGGGCTGGAGACGGGGGCGCTCACGCTTACTGAGTCGTTCAATAACCATTGCTCGGCACTGTCCGGATGTTTGGGCTGCCAACATAATCAAGCTCCACAGAGACGCCAGGGAAGGAAGGGGTCCCGAGCAAGTAATGACAGCCACCGTCAGCGCGGGGCTGGGGGTGGGGGGATTTAGATCCGTGGGATGAGAAATAAAGGGTGGAACGGAGAGGATGCGGAGGCTGGAGCGTGGGCCAAAGCCAGCTGGCAACCCTCTTGGTTTTACAGGGGGACTTGGAAGGCGAATTCGATGACTAAATCCCAGGAAACCGCCTTCTGGGGGGAGGAAATGCGATTTCCACGCGCCGTCGCCCGGCGCCTCGGCTCAGCTCTCTGGCCACCCTTCCCCGAGGACGCGACATTCCCGGCGACACGCCCCAGGCTCGCCCCTAGGCGCATCTGCGCACTCACATACCTCACACACGCGACACCTCCCTCTTTGCGTCATCTCCCACCGCCGTCCAGGGAGCCGGCCGTGGGTGCCGCCATGATTCGTTACCGAAGTCTGTAGGCCTTTTTCCGCGGTTCCCCGTCTCTAGAGCTCTCAAGAGTAGCCGCAAAGCATTCCGAAGGCTCATCCGCCAGCCAGAAGTATCCTCGCTCGGGATTCCGCCTGGTGTGGGGTGATCCGCCCGACATGTCACCCCAGCAAGCGGCTCGCATGGGCGCCGCCATGTTGCGGGGTCCTCGCTGGGGCGCGTAGGTATCTTCAAAAAATGCCGGCTCAGCGGCGCTGGGCATCCCGCCCTCCCCAAGATGGCGTCCATGCGGGAGAGCGACACGGGCCTGTGGCTCCACAACAAGCTAGGGGCCACCGACGAGTTGTGGGCGCCGCCCAGCATCGCGTCTCTGCTCACGGCTGCGGTCATCGACAACATCCGCCTCTGCTTCCATGGCCTCTCGTCAGCCGTGAAGCTCAAGCTGCTTCTCGGGACGCTGCATCTCCCGCGCCGCGCGGTGGACGAGGTGAGGCGGCGGAGCCGAGAAGGGGGCGAGAGTGAGGGTGCCGGGCTCCGAGGCCAAGCGGTGGGGCTCAGGGGCGGGTGATGGCAGGGGACGCAGGTCCCAGCTGTCCCACGTCCCCCCGACCCGGCTCTCGGCTCCACTTTGCTCCCCTTCCTCCCGACTTCACCCCTTTCTGAGTTAGACCCTTCACCTTCCCAGGCCTTACCCACCCCCAGACCCTCACGCACCTAACCTTCACTCCCTGGGACCCTCACCCACTCTGCATCCTCCCCCCCCCCCCCCTCACCCACCCCCCCCTCTGGCTGTCACTCATCCC